GAAAATCTAATCATATCAATTCATTTCGTTGAGTTTTTTTTCTTTCTATTCACTTTCTTCATGTTCTTTTTTTTCTTTTTTCTTTGTACATCAAAAGCACTAATCTGACTTTCTATCGGACACTTGTTAAGAGATGAAACACCTTTTGGACAAGAAATACTGTAGTCACTTAGAATGAACTTCTTTTCCTTCATCAGTTGCCTCCTAAGTTAGTTTGAAACACCGAAAAAAAAACTTTATTACACAACATAAATATAAAACACCTTTTTTTTTTTACTGCCAGTACATGTAATTTTTTTTTTTCTTTTTTTTCCTGTTTTATTCCTTTTTTAAAACGTAAGATGAAAAGGATTCCCATAGGGCTAAAATCCCTAAAATAGAATCGTTCCCATAAGGATTAATGCCATCCAGACTTCAAGCAGACACATTTTTATACTGACAGAACACGTTGAATAAGAAGATCCTTGAGTTAATCTTCGCCTGAAAGTGGTCCCAGGCTGAAGAAAATTGGTAATACTCGGTTCCATGTGTATCTCTTCCACATATAGTGTTATATTTTTTTTTTCTGAGATGTTAGGAATCTTTGAGAAGTATGTTTTATATAATGTTTCGTCTTACACCGAGATAACAGCCAGATTGGAATATTGTTTAAGAAAACTGAGAGGTTATATTGAGCGAGAAGCACATCTATACCCAAAGACTGCACATATTTTGGCCATCGGATGATCAGGACACAGTAGTTTTACACCTAACTTTTTTTTTTCTTTTTTTGCAAGGTTTTTGTTGCAATAGGTCACAGTGGATCTGCTGAAACGTGTTGCATGCACTCCACTTTTAGTTGCAGTTCACCAGATACCTTAACTACCTTGGTTGATACAATATTTCCTCTCCTGATACCATGGTTAGAAGAAATCAATGTCTTTTTTTCACCTTCAGTAAAAAAAAATCAACCTTGGCACTTGACATGGAGTTCTTTCAAGTTCTTTACACAAAGGAAACAGAACACCCATGGACATCTGAACGCAGAGAACTCGGTAGGCCTTTCCACCTTCAGTCGACTTCACTCAGCTTCAGGAGATCCTTGGTACCAGGAGTCTGTGACGTGCCTATGTTTCTCTCTTTCTCTCTTTCTCTCTCTCTCTTTCTCTCTCTCTTTTTACAGAAGGATGAGGACTGCAAGCAAACCGTAGGATATTTCTATAGCCCTGAAAAGGAAGAAGAGAAATTTGTTAAAATTCCTGGTTGATGTCTATTAAAGGATTTAATGTCAGACACAGCATAGGTTCTGATAGTGACTAAATAAAAAAAATGTAAATGTTACAACCAAAGGTAATAATAATGATAATAATGAGGCAGACAATGAGCTGAAAATTGGCTCAATAAAAATATGTAAAGAGAGAGATAGATAGATAGATAGATAGATAGATAGATAGATTGATTGACTCATATAATGCTTGATTGATTAATAGATGGATAGAAACATAGATAGATAGAAACACAGATAGACAGATAGATAGATATTTTTTGTTCAAATAAAATATCATGAAACACATTGATCTTTGAAAGGGAAAAGGGAAAAAAATACTTTTATGACCACAGCACACATGCACTTTAAACGATACAAGTATTAGCTACACTGAGTTAAAAATACACCGGCCGAAAAATATTAGGGAGAAATACGACAGGTGCTGTAGCGTCACCTAATGAAAATTTCGTGAAATGAAAGATCATTTATCTGTATGAAGAGTGATGAAGAGAAGAGGAGAGAGAGAGGGAGGGAGGGAAAGAGGAAGAGAGGGAGAGAGGGAGGGAGGGAGAGAGGGAGAGAGGAGACACAAAGGAGAAAGAGACACAAACAGACATAGAAAGAAGTGAAAAACTGAATTAACACATGAACAAAGAAAAACATAAACAATACAAAATAAATAAACAGCACGCAAACAGTTATACAAAAACAAGAAAAAGAATAGAAACAAACACACAGAGCCAAACAAACAGCACGCGCCCGCAAACAGGGCCCGGCAAGGCGCCTCTGAACCGACCTGGCGCCTAGACGGAGCTCTCCCTGGCGGCGGCGGCGGCGAGGGGCGCGGCGACCAGAGGCGCCCTCGGGTCCTCTTGAGCGCAGTAGTCGGGGTGCAGCGCCACCGTCGACGTGGAGCCCCGGGGGCTGTTGGTCGACACGGAGGAGGCAGGAGGCGAGCCGCGGCCGGAGCAGAAGGAGGAGCGGGCCAGGGAGTCCGTGGAGGTGAGGGCGGGCGAAGGAGAGGTGACGGAGGCGAGGAAGGGCGAGGAGGAGGAGGACGACGGCGTGACGCGGGTGATGGCGGCGCCTTGGCTACACACGCTGCTGGTCACCGTCGGGTCCGACAGGAGAGCCTCCGTCTCCCGGGTCACTACTGCACCCTGGGGGAGGGAGGGGGGCGCGGGGGTGAGAGAGAGTGCGTCGAGAGAGGATGCAAATCGTGGTAAAATAATGATGATAATAATAGTAATAATAATAATAATAATAATAATAATAATAATAGCAATAATAATGATAATAATACTGATACTAACTAAGTAAGCAATGCAAAAATTACCATGATTTTTTTTTTCTTTTCATGAATAATAAATGTAATCTGATGAAACAGATTACATGATAAAGTAGTTGAACGAAAACAAGAAGATAATAGAATGAAGGAGGATGATAACATAACAGATATAACAGAAAGAATAAAGCAAATAACATGAAGATAGCACAAGATAACACAGTATTATAATAAAACAATAAATTGAATAATAACACAACAGCTGACTTTATCATTTTACCAGAAAATAAAAAAGAGAGGAAAGAATGAAAATGTGTGAGAGTGAGAGAGAAAGAAAGAGAGAGAGAGAAAGAGAGAGAGAGAGAGAGAGAGAGAGAGAATATATAAATATATACATATATATAATCATACATATATATATATATATATATATATATATATATATATAGAGAGAGAGAGAGAGAGAGAGAGAGAGAGAGAGAGAGAGAGAGAGAGAGAGAGAATGAAAATGTATGTGTGTGTGAGAGAGAGAGAGAGAGAGAGAGAGAGAGAGAGAGAGAGAGAGAGAGAGAGAGAGAGAGAGAGAGAGAGAGAGAGAGAGAGAGAGAGACAGACAGACAGACAGACAGAGAGACAGAGAGACAGAGAGAGACAGAGACAGAGACGGAGACGGAGACGGAGACAGACACAAAGACAAAGACAGAGAGACAGTGACAGAGGCAGAGCAGAAACAGAGACAGAGAGAGTCTTCGCGTGTGTTCATAGATACACCCACTTGTATAAATAAATAAAAAGAAAGAGAATTACTGCATCAGAAAGAAGAAATTAAGATATGCGAAGAAACGCAAAATAATTATTTACAATTTCCACAACGCGCTTTGTTTTGTGGAAACACTTTTTTCGAAGCTAAATTCACAGACACATTTTCGTCGTTGCTTAATCGTATATATATATCTATTTTTCTTCTTCAAATTATGGTTATTTTATCATAAATGTAATAATCATGATGAATGGTGGTGAAAATTACGATGATTTTGATAAAAGAAAAATTATAGAACATAAATCACAATAATGAAATAATTATGATTAAAATAATAAGGGTGATTATTAACTTTAATTAATCACTGTGGATTATATTCTTTTTTTTTTTTTTGTCAACAAATATGACCTCACTTGCTCTCTCATTGGTAGTCACTTACATACTTATATCCAGTGCATACTTAGAACGCGGTTGGCTATGCTTTAACATCTCTCCTTATCACTGTTATTATGCAAATTACATGGCTTTCTTGTTTCTTGATTCTATGGCATACCAATTAATCAAATAACTAAAGGCAATTATTTTTTTCTTGAGTTTGATAGCTAGCCACGAAATCTGATTTAAAATTTGTCTTTTCGTTATTTTCTCCTTTTTTTTCCTTGTTCCCAGAAACGAATAACCTCAAGTAAGTAGAGAGAAGGTAAAGATGAGGGCGAAGGGAAGAGAGAAGAAAAGCAATAGCAGGATGAGGACAATTAGCTGGTAGACAAGAGATTTACACAAAAAAAAAGAAAAAAAAAGCCAAAAGTCAAAAATACATGTCCTTAAGCTGTTGTTTTATCATTCCCTCGAATTCAGATACTTTTTTTTATCCTTATTTTATATTCTTAAAAAAAAAAATCTTGTTTTATATATATATTTCTAAATCACTCTCATTAAATATTTCCTTGTTTTATTAAAAAATACTCCTGTTATTTTATATATATATTTTAAATCAGTCTCATTAAATATTTCCTTTTTTATAATAAAAAAAAAATACTCTTGTTTTTTATATATATTTTTAAATCACTCTCATTAAATTTTATTTTTTTATACTTTTTTTAAAAATTACTCTTTTTTATATATATTTTTAAAATCACTCTCATTAAATTTTATTTTTTTTATACTTTTTTTAAAAATTACTCTTTTTTTATATATATTTTTTAAATCACTCTCATAAAATTTTCCTCTTTTTTCTTGACTGCTTCACACGGACACTTACATTGTTGAGCAAGGAGCCTGGGTTGATGTAGAATGAACCGTCTTGACCTCTTATGTAGTTCCGAACCAGCTGCTTGTCATCACCTGGTACCCTCGTATCTATAGGTTAAGGGGGGGGAGGGGAAGATTTCTTTTTTACCTGCTTTTTATGATTTGCTGTTTAGGATCTACCTTTTAGGACTAGGATTTACTTTTTTGTTTTGTTTTGGGTTCTGTTTATTTTTGGTTGTTATTTGTATTTTTGGGGATTTTTTTTTTCTCTATTAAGGGTTTGAGTTAGGGTTATGCATTTTTACCTTCCCTCTCTGTTTTTTTTTATGGATAATTTTGGGGTGGTTGATATTCTGGGCTGAATTTGTCTCGATATTGATAGCATGTACGGGCAAATAAAATAAAATAAACAAATTATAAATTTTCTTTCTCTCTCTCATCTTTCATCTCTCACCTTT